CTGTACCGTTCTGTTGGTTTCTCTTACATTTAGCTTCATTTCCACTGCGTCGACCTCAACGATTAGACCTCCTAACATAAAAAATTCAGAATTATTGATTACGTGACGAATAACGGTAAAATTAACGTAGATTGTATATGTCGCATTGGTGAAATCACAAGTCACCATCCACATTCATTGGAAACAAAAGTACGAGAGTATCTCCCAAATTATGTAACCGACATGTCCATCTCACGACTTAAATGAGTTTAAATTATGGATTATCAAGGCCCAGAAGGCTCGTGGCTGCTCATACTCATATTTATCGACAGAACAATACAAGTGATGTTTAACGTCACCTGTGTCCTGTTGATTTTTCCTATATTTCGCATCATTTTCACTACATCGACCTCAAGAATCGGACCTCCTAACTTAAAAAAGTCAGAATTATTGATTACGTGATGAATAACGATAGAATTGACATAGATTGTAGATATCCCATTGGTGAAATCACAAGTCACCATCCACATTTGTTGGAAACAAAAGTAATGAGAGTATCTCCCAAATTATATGAGCAGCATGTCCATCTCGCGACTTAAATGAGTTCAAATTATGAAATATCGAGGCCCGGAAGGTTCATGGCTGCTCATTCTCGTATTTATCGAAAGAACAACACAAGTGACGTTTAACAGCACATGTGTGGTTCTGTTGGTTTCTCCTATATTTGCTTAATTTCCACCGTGTCATCCTCAAGGATCGGACCTCTTAACATAAGAAAGTCAGAATTATTGATTACGTAACGAATAACTGTAGAATTGACATAGATTGTAGATGTTCCGTTGGTGAAATCACAAGTTAACATCCACATTCATTGGAAAACAAAAGTAATGAGAGTATCTCACAAATTATGTGAGCATCATATCCATCTCGCGACTTAAATGAGTTCAAATTATGGAATATCAAGGCCTGGAAGGCTCGTAGCTGCTTATACTCATGTTTATCGACAGAACGACACAAGTGATGTCTAACGGCACCTGTGTTGTTCTGTTGGTTTCTCTTATATTTCGCTTCATTTCCACCACGTCGACCTCAAGGATCGGACCTCCTAACATAAGAAAGTTAGAATTATTGATTATGTGGCGAATAACGGTAGAATTGGCATAAATTGTAGTGTCGTTTAACAATTCTTGTGTCGTTCTATTAATTTTTTAAATATTTTATTTCTTTTCCAATGCAACAACCTCAAACATTAGATCTCCTAACTTTGAAAAGTTAGAAAGGTTGATCACAAGACAACGAACAGTTGAATTGACATAAATTATACGATATTGAGTTGGTGAAATCACAAGTTATTGTATCGTTAGAAAATATAATTATTGAACATATCTCTCAACTTTTGTAAACGGAATATTCATATTGCAATTGAAATGAGTTCAACTTATTCATTTTCGAGGCATGGATAGGTTGTGGCTACGTATACTCGTCTTTATAAACAAAACGACGCAAGTGTCGTTTAACAACTCTTATGTCGTTCTATTGATTTTGCAAATATTTTGCTTCTTTTTCAACGCAACCACCTCAAACGTTAAATCTCCTAATTTAAAAAAGTTAGAAAAGTTGATCATGAGAAAGAGAACAGTTGAATTGACATAGATTATACGACATTAAGTTGGTGAAAATCACGAGTCTTGTATTAATTCGTTAGAAAATATAATCAATGAGCATATCTCTCAACTTTTATAAATGAAATGTTCATATTGCAATTGAAATGAGTTCAACTTATTGATTTTTCAGGGAATGGATGGGTCGTAGCTACGTATACTCATTTTTATAGATAGAACGACACAAGTACTATTTAACAACTCTTATGCCGTTCTGTTAATTTCTTAAATATTTTGTTTCTTTTCCAACGCAACAACCTCAAATATTAGATCTCTCAACTTTAAATATTTTGTTTCTTTTGTTTCTTTTCCAACGACACAAGTTATTATATTGATTCGTTAGAAAATATAATTATTAAGCACATCTCTCAACTTTTGTAAACGGAATGTTCATATTACAATTGAAATGATTTCAACTTATTGATTTTCGGGGCATGGATGTGTCGTGACTACGTATATTCGTCTTTATAGACAGAACGACACAAGTGTCGTTTAACAATTCTTGTGTCGTTCTATTGATTTCATAAATATTTTGCTTATTTTTCAATGCAGCGACCTCAAACATGGATCCACTAACTTAAGAAAGTTAGAAAAGTTGATCACGTGACAAAGAATAGCTGAATTGATATAAGTTATACAATATCGAGTTGGTGAAATCATAAGTTATTATATTGATAAGTTAAAAAATATAATTAATGAGTACATCTCTTAATTTTTGTAAATAGCATATCCATCTTGCAGTTGAAATGAGTTTTGGGGCATGGATGGATCGTGGCTGCTTATATTCGTATTTATAGATAGAACGACACAAGTGTCATTTTCTTTACAGTAACGACACAAGTGTTGTTCTCATAGAAAAATTATGTTTAGATAACGGTACATGTGTCGTTCTTTTAAAACTTTTCATCCTAGTAATGGCACAAGTGACGTTTTTAATGATCTTTTCGTCCTCTAAACGGCACTGTGCTGTTCTCTTAGAACTTTTCATCTCAGTATCAGCATAAGTGATTCTATTATTTTCAACAAAATACAAGTAATGGACATATCTCTTAAATTTTTTAAATGCCATATCCACCTTACAAGTTAAATGGATTCAACTTATTATTTCACAAGGCGAGGACGGGTCATGGTTGCTTAAACTCGTAATGATAAACAGAACGGCGTAAGTGCCATTTTATTATCAGTAACTGCACATGAGTTGTTCTGTTGATTTCTTCTTTATTTTCACTTGTTTTCAATGCAACAACTTTTAGATATGGGCACCCTAAGTTATGCAGTTCTCATAGTAATAATAGAAGTTTATATTTATGTATGTCACTTGTGCTGTTCTCTTAGAATTTTTCATTTCAATAACGACACTGATACCGTTCTTAGGGACTTTTTAACTATTGTAACGACACTTGTGCTATTTTCTTGGACGCTTATAAATCAAATATAGTGATAGTTGTACCGTTCTTATAAACATTTTCATCTCAATAACGATATAAGTGTCATTCTCATAGACAAGTGATGTTCTCATCTTAGTAACGGCACAAGTGTCGTTCTCATAGACAGATAAATTTATAATCATAACGACAATTATGCCATCATTGGGATACTAGACTAACAATTAATGAGCATATTTCTCAAGTCCTATTTATAGATAGAACGATGGAATGGTCGTTTTCATTTCAGTGACGACTCTTGTGCCGTTCTATTGATTTTTCCTATATTTTGATTTTATTTAGTACAATGATTTCATATATTGGACTCCCTAATAAATCATAAACATTTTCATCTGAGTAATGTTGTTTGCTCCGTTCTCAAAAAATTTTGTAACAAATATGAAAACACTTATATCGTTCTCTTATAAGTTATTTCTAATAACGTAACATGTGCCATTATCATGAAATAACACCAAACTAGAGATAGATGTATAATTAAAACGTAAATATTTAATTTAAAAAACATTAACAAAAATGTAGGAAAAATCAACAGAATAGCACAAGTGTCGTTATTAATACGAAAACGACCCTTGTGCAATTATGGGATTGTTTGAGCCTCCTTCTTTCCTTTTCTTTTTCAACAAATGAATTTTGTAATAGTGTTGTAATGGGGAATATATAGTTAAAAAATAAGAAAAATTTTGAGTTTTTGTGTAATATTATTTTATTGAAGAACGTGTTGCTAAAATGGGATCAAATTACTGTTCAAGAATGCATTTTAACGAAAAATGAGGCTCAAGCAAAGACTATACGTGTTAACATGAGTAAAAGCAATAATCTATGTTCTGAGAACTAATAGTGGAACTTATTTACGTTATTTATTACATGGTCAAACTTTCTATATTACATATGTTAGGAAGACCATTATTAAATATTGTTTTGTTGAAAAAATCGGATGTTTGTGAAAATTTCGTAATGACACAAGTGTCGTTATTGAACATAAAAATGACACTTTCAATAACGACACTTGTGCTGTTACGTGTATAAATATGAGTATAAGTAGTCACTGTCCATTCTTTCCCTGAAAAATAATAACTAAAATTTATTTATATTGTAATATGTACATGACACGTACAAAAATTGATAGATATGTTTATTAACTTAATGGACACATATAAGTGTGATAACTTATATTTTCACCATCTCAATAATATAAAAATTATGTCGTTTCAACCATTCTTTGTAACTAGTCAATATTTTTGTGTTATATACGTTAGTGAGTACATTATTAGAGTCATTTAGTTGAAAAAATTAAACTACAGTAGATAACGATTGTAGTGTCGTTTTACTTTACATATAACGGTTGGAGTAATGTTCTATATTTCAGATAGCAATTATAGTGTTATTACATCCAATAGTTACAAATAACACAAAAAGCGTACTATATACGCAAACAATACCAACTAAATATTATTTAATACTATATTTAAAAATAAAAATACAACATAGATGAGATTTCTAAAATCATCTTTTCTCTTTCTTTCTATGTAAATGTATGTTAACTAAACTCTTGTTCAAATGTGATTGAAAAGAAGAAAATAGGTGAATGTAATTTTGAGAACTAAAAATTGAAAAAAATGAACAGGGGAAGATGTTATTTTCAAAAGAAAAAAAATTAGGGTTCTAAGGTGCATTGAAGGAAAATGACAAGATGAAATGAGAAAAATTGAAGGACATTAAATTAACAACTAAATTTTTTTTTTTTTTTTTTTTTTTTTTTTTTATTTTCAAAAGAAAAAAAATTAGGGTTCTAAGGTGCATTGAAGGAAAATGACAAGATGAAATGAGAAAAATTGAAGGACATTAAATTAACAACTAAATTTTTTTTTTTTTTTTTTTTTTATCATTTTACCAACTATTTCACATTTTTTTATTTTTTTTTTATTATTGATCAAAGCTATTTCATCGAATACATTGTTTAATTGGCCAAATGGCCAAATTCCCCTAAATAGTATTGCCCCAGCTCGAGCCTCTGTAGAGTAAGGGAGAGCAGACGTACTCGTAAGAGCTGATGGCGCCATTGAAATCTCTGGAGCGGGAATACCCACTAATCGACTCTATTTTCCAGAACTTCTGTGCTTCTCATGGAATATTTACAGGTTCCTCTGACTTTCTTTTCAACATTTGATTTTTTTTCCTAGCATGTTTGGTAAATCCACTCTTACTTTACAGTTGGACTAGCAATTTCGGTTGGGTTGAGCTTTAAATCGTGGTTCAATTGTCAATTAGACATTATTGCCTGCTTTATTCTCTTTTGTTGCCTGAAAGCCAGACGTGGGTGCTGTTGTTGAAAATTTCTTGTTCGAATTACTCATAAACAATTTAGTTTGAAGAGTACTAAATATATTATATGATATTTGTTATGTTTCCATAAGCTACTGCAAATGCTGTTAAATTATGAAATAACTAGTATTACTGCATTATAAGGAACTTAATCTTTCCAATGTGGAGGGTATTTTGAAGTTTTGACATTTAAGGAATCAAATTCTGAATTTAATACCTTATATCTTGTCAAGTATCTCATGATTATGATGTTCGAATGGTTGAAGATTTTCAAATATTATCAACATTTTTGCTGCCCACTTTCTGATCACTCCCCTTTATCATTCTCGTGCAGTTGAAGATTTTCTCATACATGATCTATACCTGTTAGCGGCTTTGGCAGAACAAAACAATAACTCAGGGAAGCTGAAGCAGGTTAGATATAATTGAATAGAACTTTTCTGCATACGAGGATTGTTATCTTTACACCCTTTTGTATATAACAGGGTATCACCCAGGTTTTCTCTATCATTGATAATCAGTGTCGACCATGGTTGAATGGATTGGAATTGTTAAATGATGTTGAACAGAACAAGCATGTTCTATCTACAGGATGTGAAAGGTATGCTGTGTGTAACCAAAACAATGTATCCACCGCTGGCGTGAAAATATAATATTATAAAATGTGCTACCAGCTATAGACTAAATATATATTTTCGGGCAAGGATTGATGCTTTTCTTCAAGGTGGACTACGTGAGGGACATCTAACGGAGCTGGTTGGACCATCGTCCTCTGGTAAAACACAAGTATGGATCCCTGATTTATGAAAGTTCTCCAACTGAACCTAGTTAGTGAGTATCGTCTTCGTGAATTCAGATGATCTGTGTTTGAATGAGTTGTCAAATCATGCGTAGTGGGTCCTTTAACCCACTAACATTCCATTCTCATTCTTAAAATGTTTTAATGTGTAGGTTTGCCTACAAGCTGCTTCAAATGTTGCAAGAAAATATTCAGGCAGAGTGATGTACTTTGTCTCTGGTAACTCTTTTTCATCAAAACGAATTGTGGAGTTTGTCCGTCAAATGTCAGATCCTGCTAATAATCAGGTCAAAATTAGAATTCCAGAATTAAGTTTCTCTAGTCCACCTCTTCCCTTTGGTCCTCTCCCTCTCAAATCATGTAATTAGGAAAAACGTATGTTCTGTGAGGTCATGTTTGGACGCCTGTTTCATTGCTCTTAGTCAATTTTTGTGCAAGTTTCCTGCTCTACGCTTGATGATGGGACGTAATTTGTTAATTCTTACTGTTACATATACTTGTATGCATCCCTGTATATATCATTAAAAAAAAGGTGAGAATGGCCCTATCACATCAAATCACTTTTTACATTATGAAATTTTTGGTGCAACAAACATATCTAATTGACTGAATATTGTGTCTGTTCTAGGGTAGAAACATATTCCAGAGCTTTCCTACATGTTTTTCGATTAGCATACTAGACATAATTTTCTATCACTGAATTTTTCTTCAATTCCATTTATGCATTTTGTAGGCAAACAGTACTCTTCAACAGGTCATGAAGTGTATAATATGCCACTCTATATTCGATATCTTCAGACTGCTGGATGTGCTTCATCAATTAAAACATAGTTTGAGATCTCAGGTTTGTTTGATACAATATAGTCCTAGCTTTGATCATTTCTTTAGTCTCCATATTTCCTGTTCGGCGAGCATCTGCAGTTGGCTTCTATGGTTACTTCAGAAAATATTTCCTGCAGATGGACTGTCAGGTTAGGATGCTCATTATTGATTCAATATCGTCACTTGTAAGCCCAGTTCTTGGAGGCAGTGGAGCACATGGTATACATTCTTGTAAGCAAATGAAAATATTCTGATATAACCTGGAGAATTTGTCTAACTCTATGCATATGGATCAAAAGGTGCAATGCATTACCATGCAGTAAGAATAAAAGTAACATAGATTTATCTGTAGCAACGTCAGTCCTCAACTATTGCCGGAGTAATAAGTCGATGGTCAATATTTAATTATAGTTGCACAATCAGTCCCCAATAATGGAAAGCGGCCCAATCTCTGTTATTTCTTCATGTGACTCTCACAAGAAAAAGTCTCATGATTTTTTTTTTGTCACTGACCAAGTTGGAAAACAAAATCTAGTTTCATAAAGTTTAAGATGTGAGGTTCACATGACGATTTAATGGAGATTTTGACATTCTCTTCTCTGAGGACAGATTATGCAATGGAAGATTTATGGCCAACTTATCCTTTTCAGAGGTTGGTGAGCACCTTGCTACTCAGGCAATAGGTTGGGGAGACCAATAAAAAAAATTCTATATATTTTTGTAAAGCATAGCAACACTGTAACTGCTCTTAGAGGGGTTAGGAAAACTAGCAGTTGAATCCTTATTGATGATTGCTTGTAGAAATGGTCTTTCAATTTCATTCTTTGACTGCATATGATAGCTTAAGTTGCGAATAAACTATTCATATAGACTGCTAAAGTCTGTTTAATCTGTTTTGACTAGCAATAAATAAGATTTATGTTGGTAAAACAAGATAGTTTGCCTTCAGCTTAGACAGTTCATGGAAGATAAGTAAAACTGAACAGATGCACAGATGCTTCTCAGTGCTCGTTATTATTCTGTCTATCGCATAGGCTTTAGACTTATACATGTCTGAAATATGCTTTACATCTGTGATAAGTACAAACTAAGAGGATTTTACTTGGTCAAATATACAGGACACGCTTTAATGGCTACTGCCGGATTCTTATTGAAGGAGTTAGCACATGAGAATAATCTTGCCGTTGTGGTAAGTTTGCATGCTAGAAATTGAAATTTTTCTTCTTGCGTGGCATCTTGTGCTCGCTTTATTCTCTAGTTTTGGTTGCCTTCCTTCTAACCAAAGCTTTGTCTAACAAAAAGTGTTTACATTAAATCATCGAGTAGCTGACACTGAATTATATTGATTTTAATTATCCACAGGCCAGTCAAATTAAGAAAAAAACTGTTGTATTTTTATATTAGAAGAATTGCTCAAGTTTTAGAATGTTAGTTACCTTCTACCGTATTAGGCCAATCAACTTAATGACATCCTGTAATATGTTTCCACCAAGTTGTTGAAGCGGTGGTAAGAAATCCGTCTTTAATTGTTAACATCTACATTATCATTGACTTAGTTTTAATGAATCATAGTATCTCCTTGAATTACCCTCCACCAGCTCTCATTCTAAATTTCTAATTGTAATGGCAAAATTGGGTCATATGACTATATATTTATTTTCTTTGTTTTGCCTCAAAACTCATTGTCAATTTGTTCAGAAAGGAATTATAAGCTGAAATTTGCATAATTTCTTTTGTATTAATTCTCATTTCCTCAAACCGCCGCAAATCTAATCCTGTGACTTTGCTCTTCATTAATGGTTGCAAAAACTTCTTGTGTTTTGTGTCTCCATATAGGCTATCAAAAGAATCTTATAGTTTCTCTCATTTTCTTTTTCCAGATATTAGGAAATGATCAATCTAATTTCTTCTTATTGAAATAACTATCTAATTTGTTCCTTCAAATAACATAAGCAATTGGTGCTTTAGGTGACCAATCATATGGTGGCTGGTGAGGGTGGTGTTTCCAAGCCAGCACTTGGGGAAAGTTGGAAGAACATTCCACATGTGAGGCTTTTGTTATCCCAAGATCATGTAACCAATATTAGCAGCATGTCGATACTTAAACACCCGTATCTGGTATGTTTCTTTGCATGCATGGCTGTTTGGTTAAGCTTAAAATGTTTACTTATAAGTGAATAAGTAATTTTAAAATAAATAATCATTTTATTTGCCAAAAGTTGGAAACAAAAAGGTACCTTTTTCGCAGTAAAGTGAGAGTCGCCTTCAAAACAGTAACTTTTTTATTCAAGGAAAAAAGTAATATAACCAAAATATTTCCAAACGGAAAGTTACTTAAAAGTAACTTCTACCTTTTTTCAAGCAAAGCAAAGCATGTCTATATTGTTGTTTTGTACCATACACAGATGAACCATGCATAGGCTGTTCATGAATTGTAAGTTCATGATTCTGCTGCAGCTTCAACATCCACAACACGTTCTTTACCCCTTGCTGATTTTTTATCTGGCTCTTTGGCTTCATTATTGCCTCTGTGATCACATCCCACCCATGTTGCCCGGATGCTAAATTCATATAGTGATTTCTGTGTCATCAGTATGCCTAACACTACTGCATTTGAGTTGTTTTGTCTTCTATCTGCAGGCCACAGGGAAGGCCACTGAGTTTGTGATAAGGTGACTTGTCAGATTAATTACAAGCAAATGCATTCTAAAAGAGGACTCTTTTTGGTACAGGGAAAGCTGATTACTAATAACTCTGGTAATACTCAGGGCATTACTTAAGATTATTGAAGGCGTTACTTGAGATTCTTCAAACTAGTAGGAACATGACTTGTACTCTGGAATTTAAAAACCGTTAATACTTATTTTAGTTAATTGTGAATTTTTGTTTACTGTTTCCCTGTCTGTCATCTTTTTGTTAACTTCGAGGAAGTCAGAGAGATGCTCTTCGTTTATGGTTCAATATTACGGTGTCCTAGGCGTAGAGGAACCACAAAAACTTGGTGTTTGGACACGAGTCTTATTGGGACGGACCCATCCCAACATACACCACACCACCCCAACCCAGTTTGTAAAAAATTTCCAAAAGTCAAAATTCTTTTATGGAGATTACACCCCGCCCTAGAAACCACCTTCACACTTGAATTATTTATTTATTTATTTATTTATTTATTATTATTTTTTTTTTTCAAAAATTGAACTTTTTTCTTGAGATCACACCCATCCCTGGAATCAAACCCCTCCCCAACCCACGCCACTTCAACATGTTAAAATTTCCAAAAATGAAAAATCTTTTATGGAGATGAGACCCCTCTTCGGAACCACCTCCACACAACCCCACAGAATCATCTCAGATTTGTGACTGATTGTGTGCATGTGACCAATTTTTGGTGATCGAACTTGTGTTATATGTGATTAACTGTGATGAAATTTGTCTTTAGTATGACTCTTTGCGATTGATAGATATATTAAGGCGATAATGTTATAAAATTTGTTTTCACGGTCACAAATCACAATTTTTATCGATCACAAATTATTAAATTAATTTGTCATACATTATTTCTCAATTACAAATCACAAATTTTATAGATCACAATTTATTTATTGATCATAAATTATCAAATTAATCGATCTTGATTTATTTCTTGCTCACAAATCAAATATTTTACGAGTCACAACTTATTTTACAGTCCTATATTATCAAATTAATTGATCACAATTATTTCTCAATTACAATTTGTTAAATTAATTGTTTACAACTTAATAGATTGTGAGATACAATTTTTTTTTTAAAGGTTATATATTATTTATTAGTTACAAATTATATGTTTATTGGTCACAATCAATTAAATAATTGATTAGAAACACTCTTCTTGCCTCCCACTACCACCATTGCAACCACATCAACATCGTCACCACCACCACCTACAAACACCACCAAGCCCCACCACAAAATCATGCATAACCAATGCAAAGCAAATTTATAATTAGAGTAGCAATAACGTTGTTAGCAATGCTACAAACACAAAATTCAGCATAAATGGTCGGTAGCTACAAACACAAACCCCAACAAAAATGGTTAAGTTTTGAAACTGAACAAGGCAGTGGTCCTCCTGTAGGGGCGCTTCGATGGCCACAAAGCCACCATCGTGAAGAACTTTGATGGCTGCACCTGTTACCACCCTTACAGCCATTGCTAGGTCACGCATGAAAGCATTTGTCAACCAAGAAATCTAAAGATAGCGATAGCAGCAGTGCCCCCAAAATCAAAGTACATACACAATAGAATAAAACTGGAAGAAAAATAAAGTACATCGTCGCAACTGCACAGTGACGATGACTTCATCGTTTCGCGTGGCTCTGCCAGTGAGGCATCGCACGGCAAGCACAACGCGCGATAGCTATTGCAGCATTGCCGTACATAGCTGCACTGCCATCGCCTGATGTACCCAACACTATTGTTGTGGCTTCTGGCAACGCTATTGCTATTATCGTGTCATCGTCCTTCGTGCACTGGCAATGCTCTCTTCATGGTGGCTTTCAATGGAAAATGAGAAGAGAGATGGGAAAGGATGGGGAGAGAGAGAAGAGAAAAGAAAATGATTTAGATTTAGGATTAAGGTTTGAGTGGTGGGGGTGATTATGTAAATTAATTTATTTTTGTGATATTAAAAAATTAAATTATCATCTGATTTTTGTATAAAAAACTTTTAAACATGAAGTTTGAATTGTATAGTTTATATGTAGGGTTTGGGCTAATTTTCCCATTTTGTCAGTTGCCCATGTTACTTTGCTTTATGTCAAATGGGGCAATCTTCAGTTGGGTTGGGCTTTACTGCCTTAAATTCAGATCAAAATCGCCCTAAAAGGACTTCGCTTGGGCTATCCAAATCCCTATTCGATAAATATGGGCCCGAAGTGGGAAGTTTAGACTAGGGTTTTTCATAACCCTATATCATATTCTCTATCACTTCTACCCTTTCATTCTATCCGCCTCCTGCAACTCCTGGAGAGAAGTCGTTGTAGGGAAAAGACGAAATGGGTACGATGGAAAGCTTAAGAATAATCTTTATTTTTCATTTACGTAGAACCCACAATTAATTTCGTATTAATTAACGTTGTTGTGCTAATTTGTAGCTCGGATCAAGGTGCATGAGTTGAGGCAGAAGAACAAGGCGGAGCTTTTGGCGCAGCTGAAGGATCTGAAGGCAGAGCTGGCGTTGCTTAGGGTCGCCAAGGCGACTGCTGGGGCTGCCAACAAGCTGTCAAAGATCAAGGTGGTTAGGCTTTCCATAGCCCAGGTGCTGACTGTAATTTCCCAGAAACAGAAGGCCGCTCTCAGGGAAGTATACAAGAACAAGAAGTATTTGCCTCTTGATCTCCGTCCCAAGAAGACTCGTGCCATTCGCAGGCGCCTGACTAAGCACCAGGTATTTAGTTATTTACATCCATTTGTTATTATTATTATTTTTCTTTTGGGGGTTTTTTGGTTGTTCTTATTATGTTTAAGAGTTTATCATTAGCTTAGCTGGTAGTGTGTATTTTGCCTTTTAAATCACGTGTCAAGAGGATATAAACAATTGAAAATTCCTGAATTTAACATTTTTTTCGTAAATATTAGTCTGCCTAACTTTGCAGTTTTCTGTCGAGCTCTTCGATTGAGCGTATCTATCAGTAGAAGTTGTGCACTTTATCGGCCCCCTTATTTTTTGCAGTATACGAGTCTTCATCATCAATAATCTTGGTACAGAATACAGTGTATAAGTGATTTGTTAACCAACAACTATTTTCTCTGCAAATTGCCATAATGTATTTGCATTGATCTTCCCTTCTTTCTAGTATGTAATATTGGATGTAGATACTGCGTTTGATTGTAAGAATGTCCATGAATCTCTGGCTATCACTTGGTTGGACGAAAGCCAATTATTCTGAGGGTAGACAATCAGTTAGAGCAGCAAATGCTGTAGCAAAACTTATTGCAAAAGAGGGGAATTTAGCCACATCAAAATTACCTGTTTGATATCCAAAAGCTGCTCAGCTAAAGTCGGATAAATAGGAAACTTTTAGGTGAGCCAGAAAAATTTGGGTAGAGTAGTTATAAATCCTGTAGACCATCCCCATGGGGTTAAATAGATAGAAACTCAATGAGTTTGGCAAAATTGTTTCAAAAATGAACAAAGATGATTCTTACCTCGTTCCCACTATCCTTCCTTGTACAAATTAACATTGCTGCCATTTCAATGGTATGAAGGTGTCTTTCTCAGTATCAAGGGTATTGTATTCTGACCTGTGATAATATTTTTCATGAAGTACAAGAAAATATTTTTCTTCATTGTATTGCCTTGTTTTGATTTAAATTTGACAATGAGTTCTATGTCTTTGAATATTTCAAGTCTGTTGCCTGTTGCATCAATTGACATCCGTAACTTCTACTTTCCTTTTTCTGTAGGCATCTTTGAAGTCTGAAAGGGAGAAGAAGAAAGAGATGTACTTCCCAATGAGGAAGTATGCAATTAAAGTTTAAGTTGATCAACGGTGGAAGTTATTTCAGTACCATCCCTGCTTAATCTCAAAGGATAATTACATTTTGTTTGGTAAGTTGTTAGCTGAAAATTGTTATGATTTTGAGGACTTTGAGTTTTTGAGTGTCATTATATGTTATTATCTTATGACTAGAGACGAAAGATTTTGATTGAAGTTATGCATTTTACTTCTATTTGGCTTGGTTTGATTTGGTTTCTCACATCCCATGCACTTTTCATGCTTTATAAGTACTGATGGTTACTACTGATGCACTGAATAGCAAGAATGCTATGATGTGCAACGTATTTTTATGGTCTAATCATTCGCCTAGGATGGCAGTCATGTCGGTGGAATTGGACGAAGTGACCTAGATTTGGATCAAATTCATATACATTGATTCAATCGATAATATGGTGACCCTATTGATATTAGGATCCAATATAATTAAACTTTGGAGGGGTCAAGCCTCGTCAGCTAGAATCATTTTTGAGCGATGATTTATTGTCAACGAGCAGTTTTGACAGTTTTGTCGTCTGCTATGGTTGCTTGGAGTTACTGTGACTGGTTTACTAGATTGACAAATGGTCATTTGATCAAGGTGATCAAGCATTGAATTGGCAGATAGTACTGAAATAAAATCAGCAGTACGTTGGTGGATTGAACAATTTAAATTTTAGCGTTTGTTAAGTTTTAAAATAATAAGAGTACTTGCACACAAAGTGAGCAAGCATTTACTTTAAAGAAGCAAGTTTTTGCAATAAAATTTCCAGAAAATGGAATATTATCTCTTTTGAAGGATCGGCCAAGCATGGTCTGTTTTGCTTATTTGGACCGTTGTGACAATCTTGTAGGATTTTTAAGAAATTCTTAAATTTCTTTCTAAATTACAAGGTTGATTACTTTTTAATTTCCTACTATGCCTAAATGATGAAATGAATTATTACAGAAGTGAAATAGACAATTTTCAGGAAAAATCTCTTTCCCATTCAACGTAGAAGTGGGTTCTCTCTAGCTGACATTACCAAAGAATACATTGTGATTAGGAGTGTAAATTTAATTAATGCTCACACAATTTTATTGTACATTACTGCTTGCCCATTTATCTATTCAATTGTTTACCCATTCATCATCTGTTTGTTCTCCATCACCCTCAGCTAGGAATGTTTCCACGCATTCATCATCCGTTTGTTCTCCATCACCCTCAGCTAACGGAATGTTTCCACGTGGCGAACAAAAATCCGACATGGCACATCACTTGTCTGATCTTTTCTCATTTATCCACCCACCAAACCCCCAAAATTTGAAAATCGTAGTATATTGCAAATTTTTAATATATTCAGGAGTAAAATTAGAATCCAGCATATTCTACTATCAATCAGTTAAAATTTTGAGCAATGCCATGTACTCCCATTAAAGTTGCAATCTTAGTCCAGGTGACATTCATTTAGTGGGTGTTAGTGAGTCATTTTTATGTAAAAATGCATTTTGAAATAGTAAATTGATCAAAAATGTGTGATTGAAAAATAAAAATAAAAAGTTTTTGATTTACATATAATATTATTTTAATGAAAAATACGTGATTGAAAAGAAGAGAGAGAAAAATATATTTTTAAAAAAATGGGTATCAAATGGGGCCTTAATTTCACTTTTTATTTAGCATATTATCTAGTGCCATCTAGATTAGATTGCAACCTCATGGTATTACCCTAGAATTTTAAATTTGAATGGCGTCTTCGTGGGCGAATTTGTGGGTGTTGCTGGGGCTAGGACTCGGCAAAAGCTCCCCACCACCTTACGGGCCTTTCCTTCGCCGTCTCTGTAAGCCCTTTCATTTATCTTTCCCTATATCTTGTTTAAAAATTCTCAATTTTTCAGCAAAATTGATGGAGTTGGACATTGTTAGTAGATAATTCGACGAAATGGTTTTGTGAGATTCCAAATGGAAATTGTGATGCACCACATCGAATTTCTACCCACCACGTGACTCATTTCGTTAGTTGATGGTGATAGAAATCAAACAAGGCTTTTTTTTTTTCCTCTTTTTTTAATGACCGTGTAGCCCTGAAGAGACTCAAAATGATGACCATTAGAGAGCAAATCCAAAACCTGACCATTGAGTACCTCTTTGGGTTGAAATCAGACAAGTGCTGAATATGTAAGCAATTGGATAGATGGATGAGCAATAGTTTCTCCTTTATTATTCGATAAGCAAGTAGTCATGTAAAAAAAAAAAAAAGTTGGGTAAATATCGATTAAATTTACTTGTGATTAGGGCTATTTAGACATGGGTAATACATTACCACAATAAATTTTACTTATTGCACACCATTATAATCATACCATAATAAAAACATGTTTACAATAAATACACCACAACAAATTTACAATTATAGTCCTAATTCAATAAACACTAAAAATGAAAATAAAAATAAAAATAAAAATACAGTATTATTTCTAATTTTTTCTACCTATTCTTCCCGTTCGTCAGATTCCAAAGAACAGCCTCAAAATTCCTGAACAAATACTTTCCAGGCAACCAACTGCAAATTAAAAATACGTCCGATAGTAATGAATCCAGTAGAACACCCACGTAACAAGACTCCAGCTTGATACAACAAATCCACCAACCAAGTAATCCAAGATCCAACTAACCGTAACTTAAGTTTTACGGACTGGAACAACAGTAAAAGTTGGATTTCCTTTTATGGTTCAGTTTTGACTTTTGATGTATATTCGAACCACTGAGTTTCTAGTAGTGGAAAGAAAGAGAAAATTTAGTTGATAGGGGTGAATGAGAGGTTTTATCTTTTGATAAGTGGACTTGAAAGATGTTAAATGTCCAAAGTTATCAAGTATTCCACATGTTATGATATGTACTTGAAGAATAATGTTATTTGAATGGGCTCAATGATAGACCATTTTTTGACAGATTCACTTTACCCTTTTTGATTGGCAGTTTTTTGTTTTGACATTTTTTTTTTTAAACTCTCAATAGGTGATTGCCTTGTGTATCCGTAAGTGAATTTTGTTGGAAAAAATTGAGTGAGCTGCTCACTTTTGGCACAATTTTCGATGGGACCCGTTGGTCCAATATGGAATATCAAAGTTGATATATGTTCTCCTCCGCGAGAACATCGATTTCACGTATTTATTTGCCAAAAATAAAGTTCGGGTGAATGAGAAATTGAAACTCAAAGTTGGTCATTGGAAATTGATTTTGTGGGAAAAAATGCATTTATCCCACATAGGAAAACCAAGGAAACTTAAACAACTTTATATATGATTATGCTTTGGAGATGTGTAATCATGTGTAGCATTGAGGCTCTCTCCACGTGCGCGCACGGGGGGTGCAAATCACGAACCGAAATAACTTTCGGACCTTGAACTTAGGTGCGGGTGCGACCTGCGCACACGAATGTCATACCGAACAACGCAAAAATGGCTCCATCGGTGAGCCCACGTTTTGCCAATTTTTTTTTGCTTTCTCCAATGACCTTTGAGTTTCTAAACTGAAAAAACTCCAATGGACTCCCAATAGTCACAGTGTTAATGGAAAGTAACTCCAATGGTCACAATATTAATGGGCAGTATGCCTATAAAAAGTCTCATTCTCCAGCAATCTAACACACTCGAAAATCTCACCTACATTCCTGCATACACAGTTTCTTCTTTTTTACATTCCTTGTCTAGTAAGGTCTTATTCTTGTGGTGATATTGTTCGGATACTAGATTAGTTCACCGGAGTAGGACCGCGGTGCTCGAATTCTGCTTATTACCGTTGTATCCTGGGAGACGCCGCTCGAACTATGCACACACATGCCTCGATTTATAATCTACTGCAGTTTGTGTTTTCTTTCTACAGATTATTTTTGCATTACTATTTAATTCATGCAGTTTATAGTTCCATAGTGTGCAGTTTCCAGATTCATCGTTTACAGTTTTAGCCTACAGTTAACTTATATTTTTGATTTTGTGTTGCTAAACTTTTTTTTCAACCGTTGAAAAATTCTGAAACGGAATTTTTCTTGATAAATTGAAATTGTTTGCCTTGTGGTTATTAATTTCAATAGTCGGCTATTGCAATTGAATAAAACTTAAACAATTGATTTCATCCACTAGCGACTTGTTTTCCTACAAGCTTAAGTCAGCTTCTGAATTCGGAAAACAAGAGTTGGTTTTTGGTTTAACTGAATTTTGGTTTCTTGGAACTAATATTTGGTTTGTTTTCAGAAATGGCAACCGAATCGAACAACATGGATGTAACCCAAAATGTTCCCGCTGGAAATCAGGCTGTGGGTTCTAATGTTGCTCAAGGGCCAAGCTCCGTTGTGGCTTAGACTGTGGCTAGAATGCCAAGTCATGTTGTGAGCCAAACTGACCAAACTGTAACTGTTCCGTTTAATCATGGAGAAAAAACCAGATATCTTGAATTTCAAAAAGTGGCAGCAGAAAATGCTTTTTTACTTGACCACCTTGAATCTAGCGAGATTCTTGACTGAAACTGCTCCAAAACTTAATGAGGGCGAGGGAGATGTGCAAGCATTGAGTGCCCTTGATGCTTGGAAGCATTCGGACTTTCTGTGCCATGGTAGACTAGGACACGTTAACTATGATACTTTACGAAGACTAGTTAACTCTAACTACATACTTAAGTTCAATAACGATTCCAAACATAAGTGTGAAACTTGTGTTGAAACAAAATTGACAAGGTCATCGTTTAAATCAATTGAACGGAACACATAACCACTAGATTTAGTTCACAGTGACGTGTGTGATCTAAAACTTGTACAAACAAGAGGTGGCAACAAGTATTTTATTACTTTTATCGACAATAGCACAAAATACTGCTATGTATATCTACTTAAAAGTAAGGATGAAGCTATAGAGAAATTTATTCTCTATAAGAATGAAGCTGAGAATCAACTTAATAAGAAAATTAAGGTGCTGGGAAGTGATCGAGGTGGTGAGTATGAAGCATCATTTGCTGAATTCCGTGCACAACACGGAATCATATATGAAGCCACCGTCCCTTATTCACTGCAACAAAATGGTGTTGCTGAACAGAAAAATTGTACCTTAAAAGAGATGATGAATGCAATGTTCGTAAGTTCTGGGTTACCTCAGAACATGTGGGGAGAAGCTGTGTTATCAGCAAATTACCTTTTAAATAAGGTACCCCGAAAGAAATCGGAAAAGACCCCTTAT